CCCCCTCATCTTCGGCCTCCCCGACTTTGTCTTGACAGCCAGAACCCGCAAGTTTGCCAGGCTCTATATCTTGTGGAAGTAACTGCGTACTTCAACCTGCTGAAACTCGTGGTGGATATCGTCGAAATTGGCGAGTGAACTATCGTCAGCTTAAAAAAAAGGAACTTCGTGCGCTGCACCCGTAAGCAAACCAGCAGAGAATTAAAAAATAATAAAAAAAGTGCATATTACGGCGCAAGAACCCCTTTCGTAACAGGTTGTTGACTTTTGATTTTCCAGGAATTAGGCACTCTTGCTTAAAATGTCAAACAATTTCCGAATTTAATTTCATAATATTTTTTACCACAATGCTAAATTTTTAATTTTTATCAGGCCTTTAACCTCTGCTAATCTCTGATGCCAGCTGATGACTGGGTTTTAAAACTGGACTGAACCCTAATCATCATTAAACATTCGAGATTATAGGAGGACCCTAGATCGGATAAGTTTATCGTAAATACTGATCATTTAAGAAAAGGCATAACTAATTTATTGAGCGTGAATATCTGAAACTTAGTCAAATTTTGTCGACGCGACATTTGTATTTTGTTATATCGCTTCTAATTCATTTCGGCGCACTTTTGATTTGTTAATCCCTGTGACGCGTGAGTCCTGTCCTCATGTTCCTAATACACCTTTGTGATAGTGCTTTTCAAGTTGTTGATAGCGATTAGTCAAAGTTTGCCAGAAACTGTAATAACTATATTTGGTTGAGCATTCGTCTTCGTGGTTTCTTGGGAATCACGAGCTTGCTCAGCACAGTAGTTCTTTTGGTCACCTCAAGACGAGGCCAACAATAGCGCACGCTAAGGGTTTGTACCTACGCAGTTGCGTTTCGCTCTTTTTGTACCTGCGTTAAACAATCTGGTGTGATCCCTACCACCACTCGAGATGTGGAGCACCGTCAATGTGCGAGCAAGCGGTGCGTATAGGTTGCACGTGCCTGTTTCTATTTTAAAGCGGACTTTTAACCAACGATGATAACGTGCTGCCACTTACTAAAATGGCCGTCGCTCTATCGGAATTTATAATTTCTTCCTGGTATTGTTATGGGCCATAATCTGACGGCGTTTGTCTATCTTCAACTATCGTTGTGACCGGTTGAGTTCATATGATGCCTAGAAATGAAATCCATCAATTCT